AAGTTTATTGATTAACAGAGTGACTTAGATCTGATTTTTAGGAAAGTCACGTCAGCAGCTGTGTGGAGATAAAAATGAAAAGTGGAGAGGTTTGACGTAAAATTGCTGACAAAATGCTGAGCGGGGCCCTTCCACTGTTCTGCCTAGAAAAAACACCATGAGGACACTTTCTGAATAAGAGCCATTCCCCAGCCGATAAATGATCAAAGGATATGAATAGGCATTTTTCAGAGGAAAAAATCTAAGCTATGAATAACCATATGAAAAAATGTTTTAACTCACTAATTAGAGAAAAATAAATTAAAACAACTCTGAGGAACCACCTCACACCCATCAGATTGACTAAGGTGACAAAAAAGAGAAAGAAAAATGACATATGCTAGAAGGGATGTGTGAAAATAGAGACACTAGGGGCAGCTAGGTGGCACAGTGGATAGAGTTCTGGCCTTGGAGTCAGGAGGACCTGAGTTCAAATCCGGCCTCAGACACTTGACACCTAATAGCTGTGTGACCCTGGGCAAATCAATTAACCCTGATTGCCTCACGAGAAAGAAAAAAAGAAAAAAAATAGAGAACTACTGCGCTGTTGGTAGAGTTGTGAACTAGTCCAGCCATTCTGAAGAACAATTTGGAACTAGACCTCAAAAGCTACTCAATTATATATACCCTTTATCCCAGTGATGCTGCTACTAGGTCTATACCCTAAAGAGTAAAAAGACCATATGTACAAAAATATTTAAAGTAGTTCTTTTTGTGGTGGCAAAGAATTGGAAATTGAGGGAATGTTCATCAACTGGAGAATGGTTGAACACGTTATATTTGAATGTGATAGAATAGTATCGTGCCATAAGAAATTATAAATAGGATGATTTCAAAAAAGATGGAAAGACATGTATGAGCTAAGTAGAACCAGGAGGACAATTGATGCAGTAACAGAAATATTTATAGATAATCAACTTTGAAAGACATAATAACTCTGATCAACACAATGTCCCACCCCAATTCCAAAGGACTTATCATGAACCATGCTACCCACCTCCAGGGAGAGAAATGATGGACTCAGTGCAGGGTTTCTGGGGATCTCTTCCTGTAGAATGTCAGATTTGGGGTGCGTTCTGAAGGAAGCCATAAGACAGAGGCGAGGAGGGGCCTTTGCCATTCCAAGCCGAGGAGACAGCCAGTGAAAAGACATGGAATTAGTGTTCAGAAAACAGCAAGTAGTAAGGCACTGTATCTAGATCATACCATGTGGAAAACACCAAAAAGGTGTCGAGGTGCCATGTTGTAAAGAGCTTTAAAAGCCCAAGTGAAGATTTTGTATCTAATCCTGTAAGTCATAAGGATCTGTCAATGTCTATGGAGTCAATGGGCCTGGCCGTGGTGAGACATGCCCTTTCAGAAGATCACCTTGGCAGCTGACTGAAGAATGGAATTTTAGTGGGGAAGTACCGGAGGCAGTCAGAGCCAGCAGCAGACTGTCACCATAACCTAGGTGTGAGGTGATAAGGACTTGCACCAGGGTTCCAGCTGTGTGAGTGAAGATAAGGGGCATATGTGAGAGATATTGAGAGGCAGAAACAATAAGATTCAACCACAGATTGAATATGCAGATTAAGTTCAAGTGAGAAATCAAGAAAAAGATCTAAGTAGAAAGCTTGAATTGCTGGGAGGATACTACAACTCTAGATATTTACAGAAAAGTTGGGAATCAAAAGGTTTAGGGAGTGTTGTGGGCTAAGTGTAAATTTGGCTCATTCCAGCAGGTTCAAGGCTAATTTAAAATATAATAGTCACTCCTGAACTAAAAAAATCTGATTAAAATTACTTCAATACTCTAATGAATACTCTCATTAAAAATAATGAAATAAATGTGAAATATGAATACAAATCAAATATACATAAGTATGAAAGAATGAAAATAAATTAAAGAAAATTAAATAAAAAATACAAGACAAAAGTGAAAAGGATATGGAACATAATTTCTTCCCATGGTCAAGAACTGAAGGAAACACCCTGCAGGGAGTCTGAACTTTGGAAATTGCTTCTGACCACCTTTCCATCCCCAGGCCAAACCTTTTATAATTCAACCTAAAATAAGCCTAAAAAAGTAATCAGATAGGCTCAGTCAAGAGATGGAGTAGAGGGTAGACTGCAGTCACCACAGCAGCAATAGCCCCAAGAGCCAGCCCAATCTTTCACTACATCCCACCCCTTGGTGGGAAGGTCCTAACAATTTTCTGGAGCATCCTTCACCATTAAAAATAATCTCAAAATAATTCTAAACTGGGGAGTGAGCTTAGAACAAATTAAAATAAAATATAAAACAATGTAAATAATCATTTTTAAATAGTGGGAGAAATGATATAAGAGCAATTCATTAAAAGTATATGGGAAAAAAATAAATGTGACAGACAAGAACAGCGCTAAGAGTATCAGGTCCACTGGATGGATTAGAATATTTCCACTGTCACTGATTGTTACTGGTCCCCATCTCCTGTATGGACCATCTGAATTAAACCAGCTAAGAGGTCACAAATATCTTGCATGTAGCCTATCCCAAGGATTATGTTGACATCAGGTCTTACCCTGTATCACCACTCAGTCAGTGTTCCCTGGCCCGTCAGCCAAAGAACCACCACCCTTTCTCTATCATCCATAGCTCTTTCAAAGAGAGATCATTGTGTTATTTCCTATCATTGTCCCCATTTGTTTTGGTTGAGTATCTCTGTCTGGTGCAACTGATCCCTCTGACTGAAAGAGTTCAAACAATCAACTGATTCAGTAAAAATACACAGGTTGTCCCAAAAGTCTTAGTGCAGCATTGAGCTCTGATTGCAAAGGCTATCGAGTGAAAACAGGCCCCTCAACAGCTAAAAGCAGTCCAGAGAATAAAAGCCAATTAATGTCCCAAAAGCCCTTAGTCAGAAAGGAGGTTCCCTGGAGATTCCAGTTGACAAAAGTCCTAACAGATCTGACAAAGTCCTAAAAGAACTGATTTTAGACTCTTGTTGTGCAAAAGGTACAGGTGGATCCCAGATCAGTTACCAAGGAGCAAAGTTAACCCCACCTGCCCCAGTTCTTTACCACCACCTCCTTGCTTCAAACTGTTCCAACTGGTGTAGTGGAAATGTGGAGGGTTAACATGTACTCCCCAGTTCTACCAATATCCTCGCCCCAGCATCTTGGTAGTGTCAGATACAGGTCTGTGTTCCCATGTTAAGCCTAATCATGGGAGATATACCAATGGAAGCCAAATTCCTAGAATAGACCTTTTTTAGGACAAAGAAGTCACCCTCTTAATGAAGTTCTGAGGAAAGAATATCCTTTAGAAGCCCACAAACCATTCATCAGTCTTGAGTGGGCTTCATATATGCCCCTTCACTTACTGTGTGACCTCCATGGAGTCCCTTCTCTTTTCTGGGCCTCAGTTCTTTCATCTGTAAAAATGAAGCAATTGGACTGGACAATCATGGAGGGTTTTTCCGGCTCTGGATCCTGTGAACTGGTCCAAGTTTGCTCCAGAACATAGCATCGGAAATAGGACTAGAACCCAGGCCTCCTTGATTAATTCTCTTTCCACTGCCCCTTTGACCAATCCTGGAATGTGGTGCCCCCATACTCTGATTCTGCCCACCCCTGACCCTCCTGTCTCCATTCTCTATCTGTCCCAAGCCAGAGACATGGTGGAATTGAGCAGTTGGCCTATTTAGAAGTGAAGAATATCATTTATAGAATACTCAGTGATATGACAGAGCCAGGCTACCCTGTCATGGCAGGAGCACCAGACAGGACCTCAGAAAACCTGTATTCAAAGCTCAGCTCTGCCTCTCATTACCTGTTATGAGTCCTTAGCTTCTCTATGTCTCAGTTTTCTCAGATGCAGAATGTAAGTAAGAAGTCCTAGTCTACCTACTTCATGAGGTTATGGGGAAGAAGAGTTAAAATAATGGATATAAATCCCTTTGTTAGCTATAAAATGTGGTATAAATGTCAGTTACTATTCCTGAACAGGCCCAGTTAGCAAGCAATAGAACTGGCTGGTGATAGCTTTCTTAGTCTGAGGCAGCCCCTCCTAAACACTTCCCAGGAACAGGCCACAGCTATTCTGCCATCTTCCCTTCCCTTTTATCTGTAGGAGGCAACACTATGCCCTCTGGGAAAAGCTTCCAATGAGGAGTCAGGAAGCCTGTCTTCTGAGGCTGTCTGTGCTGTGTGACCTCGGGCCAACTACTCAACCTCTCTGGTCCTCCCTCTTCTCATCTACAAAATGATAGGATTGAACCAGGTGACCTTCAAGTTTCCTCCCAGCTTTTAGACTCCTTCTCTCCACCATCCTGGGGTGCATTTGTAATGTGTGGTTCTGGAGGTCCTAGCCTTGTTCTTCTCTCTTTCTCTCTCTCTCTCTCTCTCTCTCTCTCTCTCTCTCTCTCTCTCTCTCTCTCTCTCTCTCTCTCTCTCTCTCTCTGTCTTTGTATCTTTCTCTCTGTCTTTCTCCTCTCTCTGTCTCTGTGTCTCTATTTTTCTCAGTCTGTCTGTCTCTCCTCTCTCCCTCTCCCTGTCTCTCTGTCTCTATCTCTGTCTCTTCTATTATCTCTCTCTCTCCCTCTCATTCTCTCTCTCTCCCTCCCTCCTTCCCCTTCTCTCCTTCTCTCCTTCTCCCTCCTCCTCATATCCACCAATGCTCAAGGAGATCTTAGCTACATACCCTGAATGGCCACAGGGGGACAGCAATAGTTCAGGAAAATCAATGCACAGTTAACCATGACTGGATATTTGGGTGTCTGCCACCTCCCGCCCTGGTCCTCGCCTTTCTGAACTCAACACCCCACCCCCACCCCAGGGGCATTATATCTCCATATCTCCTTGAGATCCCTCTTCCCAAACACATACACGCACATACACACACACACACACACACACACACACACACACACACACACACACACACAAAACACTCACGCACACACATACCTCTCACAGGCAGCTCTGAGGGGATGAGTCTATAACGACAGGAGTAAAGGAACCAGGCGGGATAGGCCCGTCACATTTATTTAGTCCAAGAGGCCAGGCCGATTATTTAGGGCAGGAGTGTGGTCTTCAGGTCTGAGGGTCCTAAGATCTTCTCATTTCTGGACCTGAGATCGAGACAGAGATAAAGACAGCAATTGACAGGGACCCAGTGAGACAGTGGCTGACAGTCAGCAGCTCCTATTCCCCTGCCTATCTATCTGTCCTTGTAGCCTTGGTCTTGAGCCATTGAAACAGTCAGCTGCTGTGTGCAAGGCTGTCCATTCTCAATGCTACAGATACAAAAATGAAAAACAGGCTTTGCTCTCAAGAGGTTTACAGTCTTACGGGTGGATTATGATTAAGTATCTAAATACAAGATATTATGTAACAGAGTCAGACAAAGCGCTACTAAGGAGTTTGAGAAGGTTAAATCACTTCAACCGGGGGACCCAAAGGGGGAAGGCATAGGAAATGGGGGGGGGCAGTGGCAGGGGAGGCTTGCTAGAAGAGGTGGCATCTGGATTAGGCCTTGAAGGATGGAAAGAATTAAATAAATTATTGGATTGAAACAGGGGGTGAGGCACAAAAAGGAGGTTAATTCAACTGTGGGGAATGGTGTGATCATGAGTTCTAAGGTAGGGAGAATAGGAGAGTGGAGGCATTGTTCAGTCTGATGTACAGTACCCAAATGGTTGTGGGATGAAATCATCCAGAGCAGTGACATTAGAAGGGCCTTGAATGCCAGGATTAAAATCTTAAACTTTATTCATTAGAAACAGGGACATTAAAAGAATTCTGAGTGGAAGAGTAACATGACCTTAGCAATGGGTTGGGTAAATCTCACTGAACCTCAGTTTCCTTCTCTGTAAAATGAGGGGCTTGAAGAGGTCTCTAAGGTCCCTTCTACTCCCACGTGTTGAGTCATGGGATTGTGGAGTCAGAGCTGGAGAGTATGTTAGCAGGAATCAACTCCAAATCCTTCATTTTACAGAAGAGAAAACTAAAGCAGGGAGGATTCGGTGGCAGACCCAGTGTCACAGAGGGCTCAAGACTGACAGATGCAAGAGACCTCAAGAGAGAGGGAAATGGAGAGACGTGAACACACAGGAAGAAGTGAAGAGAACAGGAGAACCCCTGGGTAGTCTGTGCATTCTCTTTGCTCCCCAGTCTCCCCTCACCTTGTGGAAGAAGTAAATGGAGGCAAAGATGGTAACCACCGCCATAGCCATGGTGACATTCTGGGGAAGGTGGAGAGGTAGAGCTCTGGTCTTCTCCGTTCCCTTCCCCACTCCTAGCTTTCTGCCCCTCCATGCCCCCTCCTCCATTTCCCTTCCCAATCCTTTCTCCCTTAAGGGCCCCTGCCTTGGCCTCTTTCTCATGACCCTTCTTTATCCCCTTTCCTCCTATTCCTCCCACTCTCTAATGAGTATTCCTTCTTTCCCATTACCCCTCCCTAAGCTCTTTTGCCCTAATAAAGCCCCCATTCCTCCTTCACTCAGTACCCAACCTTCCTCCTCCCACTCCACATCTCCCCCCACCACCTCCTGCAAGTTCATTGCTTCTCCTGCCCTCTGTGGATTCGGGACCCTCTCCCTCTAGCCTCTTCTGGGGATATGGGGTTGGGTGCAGAAAGCCCGGGATTGGACATACCGTCGCCTGGAAGAACAGAATGTTACCAGGGAGATGATGGCTCCTCCCACCCTACGGCTCATGGAATGGGGACAGGGGGGTGGGGCACTTAGAGACTTTGGAACAAGGCAGAGTCAAGAAGGAGGTGAATGCTGGTTCACAGCACCTTCAATCTTCTTTTGGGCCCCTCCCATAATCCCCCTATACACTTTGGGGGAGGATGATCCCAGAGACTTTGGGCATCTAGGTATGACCACACACTGGTCCCCCATGATCCAGGCTTATTAAGTGCCTCCTGGCCCTGATATTTGTGTGATGTAGCTTCTCTAAGCCTCAGTTTCCCCATATGTAACATGATACCTAAAATCCTCCCTTCCCACTCTAAATCCTATCATCGTAAGCCAAAAATGAAAGACAAAGACGCAAGTGAAAATGTCTTTACCCTCAAGGAGATTACATTCTGATGGGGGAGACAACATGGGGATATCTAGGAATATACAAGACACAAACCAGTGAGGTCATACAAGGCAACCTTAGGGGGAAAAGGTGCTGGCAGGTGGGGAGGAGGCTGGGGTCTTTGGCACAAGGTGGCCTTGAGCTGAGACTTGAAGGAAGCTGTGGATTCCAAGAGGCAGAGGCCAGGAGGGAGCACATTCCAGCTATGTCAAAGGCGTGGAAGCACCAGGGGGAATGTTGTATGTGAGGAACAGTGAGTGGGAACGCATGGCTGGACTATAGAATTTGCAGAGGGGAAAGTTGTGTAAATGGACTGGAAAGCTAGGGAGGAGTCAGGTTATCGAGAAATTTAAATACCAAACAGAAGAGGTTCCTTTTAATCCTAGAAGTAATGGGGAGCCACTGGAGTGTATTGAGTAGGGGAGTGAATGATATTAAAAAGGAGCAGATATTGATTTCGTATTTTACATTCAACTCCAGTCTGTATGTTATATTTTTATTCTACTCTGTAAGTGATTTTATTCTGTAACTATATTCTGTAGTCTTATATCACAGTCCTAATTCTCCTCTTCCTCTCTGGGCAAAGCAGCTCGTAAGTTCAAAAGTTTGGCCTCCATCTCTGAGCCCGAATGTGTAAACTATAGGTCTCCCATAATCACTGCTAATTCAAGAGAAAGTCTGAGCCTGGGAATTGTTATATCAACAATACCCGCCAATCATGCCTTCCAAGGGAAGTTGCTTATTTCACATCACTTCAGTCTCTGAGAAGCTGAATGACATCATGGGTCCACCCTGGAGAACCAGAACAAGATGGCCATGGCCCATCCTAAGGCCCGATCCTTGTAAATTCAGGTACCCTCATCCCACACCCATGTGCCTTCAAGGCTGGGGCTTCTGTCCAGTGTCTAGAATCTCAAGATGCACCTGGACCCTGTCAATTCACAAAAGTCTTCTTCAGACACAGAGAAAGATGGGCCTTCTCCCCACACATGTGTGCTTTATGCCCCTTTCTTCATGCAACCAATCATAACTTTCTAACTCTGTGATGCTACCAATCTCCTAACCAATGATGTGGTTTTTGTTTTGTTCTTTGTTCTACAATTATAAAAATATATTCCTCCCTCAAATTGGGGTCTTTGGGCTATTTTAGGGGATAGTTCCCCTACTAATAAATCATAACTTTGCACTGAGAAGCCTGCCTCAATTTACCTTTTTGTTAAATTGTATTCGTGACAATGTCTCCCCCAGGGAAAGCCACTTAGGTAGCTTCTTGGAGGATGGACTGCAAGGGGAGAGTCTTGAAAACTGAGAGGCCAAAATGGCAGAGTCCCTGCCCTCAAGAAGCTTACAGTCTACTGAGAGGTATCATCATGCACGGCCACATAACAGAATGTCATCAAGACAGCAGAGAGCTCTCAGTGCTGAGGAGGAGAAGCTCATCTTCAGCTGTGGAGTCCAGAGATGGCCTCAGGGAGGAGATGGCACCTCAACTGGATTTCCACTGGAAAGATTTCAGCCGGTGGCAAGGAAGGAGGCAGTGTCAGCTACTTCTCAGTCGTATGAGTGGAAGGTTTCTCTGTAGAATGAAGGGAGGTGACTTCTGGGGTTCCTTCTGACTTGTTATTTATTAAACATGAACCACCTACCACGGGCCACACAGACTGAGCAACAAGACCGTCCCTGCCCTCATGGAGCTCACATTCTAGTGGCTGATACAATGCATACCCAGACAAGTTTAAGGGGGGAGGGAGCACTCCCCTCTGGGAGGATCAGGGAGGACTGTCCAGAGGAGATTACACCTGAACTGAGCCTTCAAGGAAGAGAAGGATTCAAAAGGAGGAGTGTGTGTGTGTGTGTGTGTGTGTGTGTGTGTATGTGACAGAGACAGACAGAGACAGAGATGGAAGGAGGGAGTAGCGAGTGGTTTTCACAGAGTTAGAAGATTGGGGGCAGCTAGATGGTGCAGTGGATAGAGCACTGGCCCTGGATTCAGGAGGACCTGAGTTCAAATTTGACCTCAGACACATAACCCTTACTAGCTGTGTGACCCTGGGTGAGTCACTTAACCCCCATTGCCCAACCAAAAATAAATAAATATTTTTTTTAAAAAAAGAAGATAGAAGGATAAGTTCTGGGAACAGCCAATAATCTTGTTTCTCTGGAGCCTAGAATGTATGAAGGGGATGGTGAGGAGGAATGCTAGAAAGATAAAACAGAGCAAGACCATGGTGGTCTTCAGTGCCAAGCTGAGGACTTGATACCTTGCAGAAGTGGCCTTCTAGGTCCTTGGGTGCGGCCTTCTGACTGGGTCCAAGTTTTAGGGAACAAATCCTTTTATTAAGGGGATTTGTTCTGTGAAGTTTAGACTCAGTCAAAGGGCTGCACTTGAGGACCCAGAGGGCCACCTGTGGCCTCAAAATGGCAGGTTCCCTACCCCTGCAGGGCAAAAGGGAGCCACTGGTCTTTCTGACCAGCAGATGACATTGGGCCTAAGGAGGAGAATTTGGGCAGATGTGTGGATGGTGAATCCTGCAACTTCCAGTCCAATGGCCTTCCCATTCCTTGCTGCCCCAGACCCATCAGAGTGAATACAAAGGTATAAACCTGCTGGGGCATTGGGAAGAGGGACCATACAGTGGGGTCAGACCACTGGGATTAGGGGAGGCTCACTGAAAGATAATAACAGGAACATGGATTTAGAGCTGGTAGGGACCTTAGAGGCATTGAGCCCAACTTCCTCAGTTTACAGATGAGGAAACTGAGGCCCAGAGAGGTCAAATGGCTTGTCCAGGGTTGCACAGTCTCTGAAATGGGATTTAAATCAGGTGCTTCTGGCTCACAGTCCAGCGGCCTCTCCCCTACGCCAAAGGGGTCAAATACCACGTGGGCAACATTCCCCTCTCAAGTGCAGGAACCAGACTGAAACATAATTGGGAAACACTGAACCAAAGACCAGAGACCATGTCAACATGTGACTTGCTAAGTCCACACGCAGCCCACTGGGATCCTTAGGTATTGTCCAGTGACCCCATTTCTCTTTGAGTTTGATACCAGCACAGGCCCCCAAGGACCATTTATCTGGGCCTGAAGAAGAGGCAGAGCTACCAGGGAAGGACCCGGCTCTAGGATTAGTTTGGAGGAGACAGGGTTAGCCAAAGAGAGGAGGGAAAAGGCTGGAAAGATGGTGTGGGGCCTGAGGGAAGAGAAAAAACTTCTGGGAATTGTTGCCATGTTTCCTGCTCATCAGCCCTTTTGTTATTTTAAATCACTGTGGGAGGAAAGAAGAAAGAAAGAAAGAAAGAAAGAAAGAAAGAAAGAAAGAAAGAAAGAAAGAAAGAAAGAAAGAGAGAGAGAGAGAGAGAGAGAAGAAGGAGGAAGGAAGGAAGGAAGGAAGGAAGGAAGGAAGGAAGGAAGGAAGGAAGGAAGGAAGGAAGGAAGGAAGGAAGGAAGAATGGAAAGAAAAAGAAAGAACAAAAGGAAGAAAGAGAAAAAGGAGAAAAAGAAAGAAAAGAGGTAACAAAAGAAGGAAAAGAGAGAGAAAATGGAGGGAAGGAAAAAGAAAGAGGAATGAAAGAGAGAAAGGGGAGAAAGAGAGAGGAAGAGAAAGGAAGGAAGGAATTGAAATGGGAATTTAAGGGGGTGCCCATCAGTTGGGGAAGGGTGGAAAAACTGTGATTATATTAATGTAATGTAATATCATTGCACCATAAAAAAAAAATAACAAAAGAGACTACCTCAGAGATTCCTTGGGTAACATGAGCAGAAGCTATGAAGTGAGTAAAATCATAAGAACAATTTATATGAGGGCAACAACACTGTAAAGAAAAACAGTTTTGAAGGCTTCTAGCACTGTGATCAAAGCAATGACCACCCATGTCTCCAGGAGCCCCAGGGACAAAGCATGTGACCCACCTCCCAACAGAGACAGAATGGACTCAAGGGGCAGGAAGAGACACACACTTTGTTTCACTTGACTGTTCGTCGGTTGCTAATTTTTTTCCCTTGGTTTTTAAGTTAAGAGTTGAGGGGAGGGGGCAGCAATCACGATTCGTAATAAAGAGAGGTGCTGAAATATACATTATACATATGTATATATATATATATATATATATATATATATATATATATATATGAACAGAACTGTGGAAGGAAGCACAAACAAGATAATTTTGAAAGTGATAAAAATGCCATTTATTATATACCTTTTGAAAAACATTCAAACAGCATGAAATGGAGATTCATACTTTCATATCCAGTCCTCTTGTGTTCTGCTGTGTATATGGAAATTCTGACTTGGGAATGTTTGAGCAGAGAATATATTATATATATGCATATATATATATATACACATGCATGTGTTCTATGCACATGAGTACATATACATAATATATAAATGTGTGTCCATACATATATGTGTACATGTGCTGCATGTGCATACACAATATACATGTGTCTGTATCTGTGCATGTACGCATGCATGTACATGCATCTACACATATATCATATTTGAATATGGATACATTTATAAATAATGTCCCAAAAGTATTATAGCTTAAAAGCA